TATAGGCAGGGAAGGAATTTAAAACTTCTTCCTTAGTGTGAATTAACTACACCATCGTCAGAGCTGGAATTTAACCACAACATCAAAGTTAATACCTCTAGCAGGTGGGAAAGGTCGGAATAGGCACGGCAAATCTTCTTGCTTAGTCAAAGCCTTATTTCAATTCATCTTCATAGACAGCACTGATGTTTTTTAGCCTTGGTGGTGTCAGAGAACTCCTGCCTCACACTACACTGGAGAGGCAGATCAGATCTTTCTGCACCCTGAGACACTGATGGCACGAGGACCTGGCCCATCTGCATTGCCTTTTGATGTCCCAAAGGACTTCTCGAAGAATATTATCTGAAAACTTACATCAGCAGCACAATTTCTTCTGCCACTTCTTTTGCTTTTCACTTGCAGACTTACATGCCAAAGCAAAATAAATCCTGCTACTTAAACTGAAAACCTGTGCAAAACAAGAGCTGACTGCAACAACTTGATAAATGCTCCAGTCCAAGGCTGCTCCAATTCCTACCCTGAACCTGAGCACAAGACTGGCAGTGGGACCAGTGAGGCCCTGGGACACCCACAGCTCCCCGGGTGGCACCGCCTGCCCCAAGGCTGCGCTGTCGTCCCTCCGGACCTGGGAGGTGTTGGCACAGTCAGATGTGACTGTCATGTGCTGCTTTGCCTACAAGATCATTGCACTTTACAGGAACCAGCTATTTCTCTTCTGCTGACTCATCTGCAGGCAATACTACTAAACTTTGCACTCTGCCAGCTGTCTGCAGAGAATTGCCTTGACACATGGACAGCATGTAAGCGGCAGCCTCAGGGGAAAAAGAAGAAGTCCTGTCACTTCAGATAATACCCTTGCCAGGCAATAAAGTACCAAAGAGTCCCCGTATTCCTCCACATTCCTCAGTCATGGGTCAAAGAGAATCCTTTTCCCCCTGTTCTTCCCTACTTCCAACGCCCAGTTTACAAGTAACCTTGCTGGCAGGTACCCCTGTAGAGATCTGTTGTAGACAGAAAGACTTGGAAGAGGTTAATGGCAAAAGACTCGTCATGGATCTCTTTTCAATCAGTGTTTAAAAATCTTGCCCAATCTCCAAGGCAACTTCATGCCCCGCCCAGACTTGCCATGCCCACCTCTGTCCCAGTCTCCAGACTCAGAGCATTTGCCTGGAAACAGAGTGCTGCTGGCTGTGACCCAGCCTGTTCACCTCCAGAGACACTGTGATGCTCCTCACAGTCAGCATCTGCTCTATCTACGTGGTCTAAGTCCTTGAGACCCTTGCAAAGGTTACTGCAGGATCTGGCAGAGTCCTGTCTACATGTAAAAGAGTCTGCTTCAGCTTCTCTGGATAAACAACAGCAGCTATCCTGCAGCATATTCACAGACACCTGAATGTATAAAAGGGATTCCAGTTCAGCCAGTGCCACACATTAGTCCAACAGCATCCAGACCTTTAATACACCAGCTAAACCAACCTCCCATGCCTTGCCTCCCCTACTGATCTAGGCAGGCTGATAGCATTTTCTCGAGCAGAGCCTGAGAACGAACAAGCTCTGGTACCTGTATCCTGCAATCAATAAAAAGATGCTACTTCTCACCAACTAAGTCGCCAATGGCTTAAGACAATTCTCCATAACACCACCACAACTGAAAAGAGTGCAGCGTGATCACCTTGGCAGTGCTGTGAACTAATACACACATAAAAAAGACAAACTGCCTGCATGACCTTCTCTGTGAATTCACAGCCCTTCTGTATACCATAACCCTAAGGCACTGAGTGTCCCACCATGCAACAGTCTCTGCTGTGGGTAGTGAAGCAGAAGATGTAGGGTTTATGCTGAGTATCAGAGAACTGTCCCTGCCCTGGGACAATAAAGTATGAGAATGGGTGGTCATTCTGTCCCAGCTTCTCCATTGTGTTTTGTTTTTAGGACTTAACCACAGAGCTTTTTGAGACTTCAGGTGTAAACTTCCTTTCGTAGTTTTACACATCAATACCAATTCCTTGCTGCAACAGTTACTGTTTGTGGCTCTTTCCACAGTGATTTCAAGACAGTTACATCCGAGTTAGATCTTGGAGCAAGAAACTTCCAAGTCGTGAATTTTAATAGTTAGGTATATACAGCAAATTCCTTAAGGAAATAAAGCCTGGGTACTTGTCATCTGAATTTCAAAAGCAAATACCACGGCTGTCCTCAGGCCCAGGAGTCCTGCAGATGGAAACTCAGTGGTACCTGTTCCTGACCACCCCAGCCCTTGCCAGCTGCTCACCACGGTCCTGGTTGCTGCAGCAGCACAGGGTGGGGACACAGGGCAGGCCACCTGCAGCATCCCACACCTCCCTCCACAGCCAGCGAGTGCTACCTAGGAGCATCGCAGCTCTCAGAATTCCTGAGGGCTTTAAAGTCTAAGTACAAACCCATTAATGAGCGCAGCCAGGGCTTTGGTGGACACCAAAAGCGGGTTAGAGAGGACGTGTGCCTGCGAAGCAGCTGGGTCACACCTTCCTTCGCCGCAGCCAGGGTCACCTCCTCATTGTCCTCTCTAGGCCGTGACTGTGTCCTCTAGGTCGGGGCACGTCCCCCAAAGCCCTCCTGCTCCAAACCCTGCGGGTGTACTCCAAAAGTTTCCCATAGTGTCTGCTGCTGCCTCCTCTCAGCCAGCCCCGAGGAGCAGCCCCGAGGATCACTCCCGAGCCCCAGCCCCTGCCCAAGCCCCCACGAAGCTTGGCACCGCGACCATCCCAGCAGACACTGTCCTTTTGCCCAAAGCCAGTGCCCCATGTCCCGCCCGACCAGCACCTCCCGCCTGTGCCGCGGCCACCCCGCGGGGAGAGCGGTCCGGGGAGGGAGCCCTGAGCGGCTCCGCAGCGGTGCCCTCATGTGCCGCCAACCCAAACCCGCGCCCCTGTGACAGGCACCGCTCTGCCCCTGTCCCTCCACCCACAGTCCCCCACAGCCCCCTCAGTGCCAGTGCCAGCCCCCGCTCCCGCCGGACTCCCCCTTACCCGCGCTCCGCCGCCGCTCCGCCGCCCAGCCCAGCCCAGCCCAGTCCAGCCTGGCCGGTCCGGCCCCGCCCCGCTCCCGCCGACGCCAACGGGGCGCGGGCGGAGCGTCGGCCCCGGAACGACGGGAAGCGGCCGGCCCAGCCCCGGAAAGCCGCGTCCCGGGAAACCGCGCCTTGGAACCTCCGTTCCGGCTCGCGACGGCCCTCCATGTCACAGAATATCCTGAGCTGGAAGGGGGCCGCAAGGATCAGCCAAGTCCGTCTCCTGGCCGTGCACAGGGCAGCTCCAAGAATCACGTCATGTGCCTGAGAGCCTTGTCCAAACGCTTCTTGAGCTCTGGCGGGCTTGGTGCTGTGACACTGCTCTGGGGAGCCTGTTCCATCCTCCGGGTGAAGAACCTTTCCTAGTATCCAATCTAAAGCTCCCCAGTCTTCATGCCATTCATGCCATTCCGTCGGGTCTTGTCACTGGTCACCATAGCGAAGAGATCAGTGCTACCCCTCCCCTTGCCCTCACAAGGAAGGTGTAGACTGTGATGAAGTCTCCCTTCAGCCTATACAGTGTAAATTCCGGGGTTTCTGGAAGGAGAAACCAAAGCATCCTTAGCGCAGCCCTGGCTACCCTGGGCTATGGTGACTTCAGGGCAGCCCTGCATGGCCACACAGCCAGGATCTTCCTGCCTGTCCTGGCGGTGCAGGACACCAGCGTGCAGTGATTCAGCAGCAGCTCGCTCTCTCTCCAGGGAAAATACAGCATCTCTGTCCCATGCCACAGCCAATGGTGGTGAGGCTGAACGATCACGGACGCAAACCTTCTTACCTGCTTTGTACAACACTTTTGTGAAGCAGCCATTAAAACCCTCCAAAGCAGAGGAAGCGCAAGGTGGAAAATCATGATTTAATAGCCATGACTTGATAAAAGCATCCAAACGAGTCTGAAGTCATATATACCATCTCCTGGAAAGTGTTGCTGGGGGGTGGTTTCACTGGTCCCCAGAACTCACACTCCAGGGTTGCACACAAACTAAGCAGCGCTGTCACATCTCTGGGCAGGTGCCTGTGGGTGACAGCCACAGGCAGCAGCAAAGCAATCAGGGAAGTCACCCTCCATCTCCCATCAGAGGAAAAGGAGAAGAAACCACTTTCAAACAAACATACTAGAGACCTAGCAGTGTGCTGTCTCTGGCATTGTAGCCCAAAGAGGGATTTTAGAAGATGCATCGTAATTTTTTACTTCCCCAACTTCCAAGAGCTGCACGGGGGAGAGTGTTCTGCTCTACCAGTTGGTGAGGGTGGGATTCAGGGTTCACCTCACCCCACTTCAGCACGCTAAAAGCCATTTCATGTCACTGGAATGGTTCAGCTCTGCTTGCTTGGTCAGCACACAGAGAATAGGCATCACCACAGAACAACTCATCCCACCTTCTGCTGGGCATCCAAGATGCTCTTTGGTGGCACCCACTCTCTCAGGAACCAACCTGGTCCTCTAACTTCAGGGGAGATGAGAAGCTTTAGCACTCTTCTGCAGATCTACAGCAGCCTTTCCGATGCTGGAGCCCTAACAAATTTGGTTGTAAACATCCACCCTTACATCCCAAAACAGAGGCAGAGACTGAGAAAGCACTGCAGTATCTGCTGAAGAGGGCAAGGCGCAGCAATCATTCACAATGTCCCTGGGTGCACCAAACCAAAGAGCAGTTACAGCAGGGAGGAGTTTTGGCAGTCTTGGGGTATGCAGGCTGCTGGCCTGACCTAATGTCCTAAATACCTTGTCTTCCTATCAATTAATACCACCTCATGTGACACAGTTGGGACTCATAGCCCAGTTGTTATAGGAGTCACAGAAACAAATCTGGATAACCAGAATAAGAGGTCAGCTTTATGGGGTAATTTACAAAGAAACCTCAGAAAATGCTCATCTGAGTAGTGCAGACAAGCCATCCAGACTAGTGCACCTTGTAGAGTGGAAGAAAATATCACAGGAGAAGAAATATTAAATACATAGATTTATTATGTTTCTTTTCTTATAAATATTTAATTAATTTCATAAAAATGAAAGTAACAGAACCCTTTCAAGACAAAAGTTTAGTTTGTCTTAGAAACAATACACTTTTAGGACAAAACCAATATACTACATAAAAAACAAAGGGCCATTTAAATAAAGGACATAACAATATTGTGCTTAAAGCTCTATGATATCCACAAGGAAGAAGGAATGTTGTAGTGTGTAAACCAGGTGTAGGACGTGCTTTGTATAGCTGTTATTTTCTTAGGTACTAAAGGAAGAACATGATGCTTTAGTGCACTTTAACAAAAAATACCCCAAAGCAAAGCTTTCTCCTCCAACTCTGTCCCTCTGTGCAATGTTTGCCACCTTCAATAGTAGAAGCAGCCAAATGCAGCTACCACACAAAACAGGCTGTCCTGGGGAAAACAGAGAAAGGCTCCGTGTTAGTCAAGGTAAGCTCTTTGCTAGCCTAGTGGAATGGGAAAACCTCAGGGAACATTTAGACCAGACCATAACCTTGCTTTGTAATACATAGCAACTTTCTGTCTTTTGTTCACCTCACTTTTGGTGTAACCCAGGTCAGTGCATCTGAATGCCAGAAGTGCCTCATTTTCCTCCATCCACACTCCCGCAGGTGTCTAGGTGCCAGTTTAAAATAAAAAAATAATGAAGTAAAACCTCGACTTCTACTCAGTCCTGGATTTCAGCCATGCTCCATGACTGCAGTTCAGCAAAGCACAGAGAAGACTTTGTCTCTTGTGCTTCCTCTCCCCACCTGTAAAATGGCGAGACTATAATGAGTTCTGTACAGTACTGTGTGACCTGCTCAGGAGAGAATTTTCATTATGTTGGATATTATATCTAAGTATGTTATGTGAATGAGGACATAAATCATACTGTTTCAATAGTCTTGGTTCCTTCCTTCTACTGGTTGCGTTTTTTTCTGCTCCATATTTAAGGTCTCTCTGGCTCTCATACAAAAGCAAGTAGCCTTACACTTCCCATGGGAATCCAGCTGGTACTTACATTCATGAACACGTCGTGAGCACAGCTGTCAGTGTCAGCGTCCCAGAAACATCGCGCGGCCATGCTAAACAAAGCAGCCAGAGCAGAGACATTACCCAGAGTTCATGTGTGAGGACCTAAGTGATCACAGATACTTTCCTCAAAAACCAAACTGAGCTTTCTTTAAAGATAAAGGAATTGGGAAGTGTCCTCCTGAATCCCAAGCCTACATCTCCACTGCTGAATACCACATGCTTCGATCCCCTCTGTATGTGGCTCAAGCTCCATCTTCAAGCTCATCACCTACCAACCCTGCCACCTCCACTGTGCAGCAGGGCTTGAACCTCATTGGTATGGTGTGTAAGAATCTTTGACTTCTGGCCTGTGTGTATTGGTGACTGATTTAGCTTATTTGTCCTTGTCCTTCACCTCCTGCACCCTCATGGTACATACTCCCAACTTATTTATAGGAAGCTATCGTATTCCTTGGCAGACGCCGTGTTACTAGACCACGAGCTAAGCTCTTCTAGTCTTTTCGTATCTATACCTTCTGTTCCCTGAAGGTCCTGCTGGACTTCTACACCTGCTTCAGTCCAAGCCTTACCCTGAGTAAGTAACCGGACCGTAACAGGGTATTACAGATGAGACCTCGCTGCTGCCTTGTCTGATGTCATTGACATTCCCCCTTCTTTGCTGCAAATGTCCCACTCCCTGCCTGCCCCAGTCAGTCTCAGCTGATGGGATTCCTGTTTGTGGCACACCATGTTGTTCCCAGTCCCTACATGTATGACTTACTGTTCTAAGATTGCTGAATTTAATCTCTTCTATTACCTTAGCCCTCAAGGTTATCCTGGTTTTTTGTTTTTTGCTGTACAGTATTCCACTCTGCCTCTGGAACACCCTGGTTACCCAGTATTTTGCATTAAGGATGTTGGTGACCATTCATCAATATTGCCTCCTGTCTGTTGCAAACCAGAGAATTTCCCCACAGGCTGCTCTGTCAGCCTGTGTTGCTGGGCTTCACATTTCCACCTCACCGAACTGTTCACCCTGGTACGGTGCTTCTGGAGCAGTCTGCCTGCAGCTGGACATTCCTGACAAAAGCCTGAGCAGCAGGTACAAATATTTCTCTCTGACCCCCAAAACACGGAGGCAGCTCTGCTGTACTTATCTTCTGCTGGAGTACCAGGAACAATAATAAAGATAAGCCCAGTAGATAAAGCACATAAACCTTGTGGGCTGTTCTGTCTTCTCCCTACCCAGTAGTAATAATGGAAAGCTACAGCCCACTACTGCAGCCAAGAGGAATTCTTTTGTCTGACTGCAGGCATCTGGAGCTGACTGCAAGTGCTCAGCACCCACATGGGAATTTGGCTCGGTTCCCATGACAGTAGTGCAGGGGGATTATTGATATTTAAACTTCTGAAAAATGCCTACCTGGGATGATTAAATGTAAATGAAGTGCTTATGGAAATCTGGCTTTAGACAGAAGTGAGTTACCATGGCTCTTTTGCTCTAGCAGGGCCTTGGGAATGGATGGGGTCTGTGCCCTAGTTCACCATGAGTACAAAATAAAATGCTTCTGCAACACTCCTCACCAATGCTTCTCAGCATTTCAGGTTGCTAAGAACCACCACAGAGCCCATTATCACTGGCTAATTCAATCAGCCAAACCTAAGCCCTCAAGTGCCACTTAAAGAGAAAAGAAAGTGCTTTACACTTTATCATCTGCAGGGAGATCTTTGTACCTAGCCAAGCTGGAAGCAGCTTCCAAAGAAAAAAACCACACCCAAACCCAACAAACATGATAGAAAGACAATTAGAAAACTTACTTCACTCCTTCTCCTCTCTGTTCTCCAATCACAACCTGCACCACCATTTTGTACCTGTCAAATCCCTCCTCTGGAGAGAGAGAAAAAATAATAGTGAGAGCAACAATTTGTTTAAAATATGAGCCCAAAACAGGACCCTAAATGCTAAAGATTTCTGGCTACAAAGCAAGTGTCCTCTACAAGCCCATGCAAGTAGCCAAGTGGACAGACTGCCTTGTGGCTTCATTTTCCTAGCATGGAGTACCAGGGTTTTACTGGAGTTAAAGAATGAACAGAGTAGTTGGCCTCTATCAAAAGAAGACACCCCTGAGCAGCCACACTATATGTCAACATTCTGCTTTGACAACTTTCAAGAGCTGACCACATGGAAAGAACGTAAATAAGGCCGCTGTGGAAAAAAAATGCAAATCGAAAAAAATTGCCTTATTTTAAAACTGTTCTGATGCAAAGGTATTGTAGAGATTCTTTTGCCATACAGGTGTTTCCTTTGCTTCTGAGTGGGATAAAAGGCCCCATAAAAGCATATGTGGGTCTGTGTTATATGTCTGCAGAGATATGCAATTGTTTTACAATAGTAAAGAAACACCTCCAGGGCACAGACCAGATCCAATCAGGCCATGGCAATGTTCCAGAAGCCAAATCAGAACAAGCATGTTTAAAATCAAATATGGATCCTAATGCCTGTCTTCAACAAAGCAGTGTCCCAGGAAGACTCCGGCGCATTGTTTCCACTGGAGGGTTGAACACAACAGGCTGGGTCTAACATCCACCACGTCAATGCTTATCAGAGATACCAGCTGATACAGCGGCCACATGGGGCCAGCCTTGCTTCAGGCTGCTGCAACTGTGTTTACACATTACTACAGCCAAGCCCTGTGCATGTGAGCTCGGCATCAACACGTGCTGGGCCTACAGCTGCTGCTGGCTTTAAAGCAGATGCGCAAATCTGGGAGACGCATCAATCCATGGCACCTGCCGAGGGTGACAGTCCGGCCATGCCACTGCGTAAGGCCAGCCCAGCAGATGGAGCACCAGCCTGCCCCAGGAGGAAAGCAAGATAAAAAAAAAAAAAAGTGGCTGTGCCAGCACACGCATCCATGTACTTGTCCCAGCACAGAACTCAGGAAACACCTGCTGGAGCTTGCAGTTTCCTTCTTGAACTCAAAAATATTGGAGGGTATCCTGTGCAGCACCACCACAACCTTCTTCCAGTGCTGTAAGGCTGTAGTCACACCCCCCCTTGTCTGACTGCTCCTCTCTCCCCCTTCCCTGTGCCCTCTGAGCCTTGTTCTGATCTCCCTGCTATTCCACTCTGACCCAACTCTGATCTAACTCACAGCAGAAAAAAAGCAGGAATGGTTCTTTTTATGGAAGCAAGAAGCAATGAAGCATCACTTCTTTCTTCTCTCCAGTGCCGCTTCTTCACCTCTGCGGCCCCTCCGACATCCCACACTAGCCAAGCTACACGAAAACAGATCTTGTCTGCTTGAATTAGATCTTCAGCTCCGCAGGCAAAGAACGTATATATAGGACAGATTGTTTCATAACAGCAGACTTGAGTCAGTCAACAGGAAAAGAACAGGTTTCAAGAATAAAAGAGGAAAGAGAGATTTTGTCAAAAGGGAGATGACACGGTAAGAAAAGAAATTACTTCCCCAGCAGACCTCCTTACCTTTCAGTCTGTCTTTTATTGTCTCTGATAAGGACTTTGTAAGCTCGGGCATTTCCTCTGGGTCGTACTGTACATTGGCCAGCTTCTCCTTCAGTATCGCATGGATGCATTCTTTTACTGAGGATGATTTAAATCTATCAGGGAAAAAAAAAGCAGCAACAGAAAGCCCCGAAAGTTCACACAACATGTAGAAACATACACAACCCCACCTGGGAAAACGTAGTTTTCACATACTCAAGAAAAAATGACAAATGAAAAACCACGGGGAAAAAAAACCCTGCTAAGACGGAGATACTTAACCAGCCCTGCCAAAAGCCAAACACACATGAAAAGGTGTGAAAACAGCCTTGTTGGAAGTTGCCCCTCCAGCAGCATCCTCCACCCGAGCGCATGTCAAAGTTGGTCAGGGAGCCCAGCGTCCCCCATCTCCCAAACCCTCGGGGCTCCCTCATTCCCAACACACCCCCACAGCCCCTCCTGCCCAGGGAGCCCCTCCCCGACAGTCCCACCGCAGCTCCCACATCCCCAGGGCCAACACCCCCCAGTTCAAGGCCCCCACCATGCCCCCCCCCTACCCGACCCGCCCCCCCCCTCGGGCTCACCGGTGCTGCAGGCCGGGCCGAAGGCTGTAGGTGTTGCCGGCCCCATCGTCCGGGCCCAGCTCGCCCATGGCCGCGGCCCCCGCAGCCTTCCCGGCGTTGGGTTACCGGGACAACCCCCGCCGCTTCCGCCGCTCCCACCGCCCGCCCCCGCCGCGTCAGCGCCGCGTCAGCGCCGCGTCACCGCGCCCGGGGGGAGCGGGATCGGGGGATGCGGACTTACCGAGCGGGGTATATTTCCTACCCTTGTTAAAAAAAAATAAAAAAAAAAAGGCAACAAAAACAAAACAAAAAAAACCCCACCCAAACCCCAAAAAACAAATAACACCCCCCCCAAAAAAAACCCACCCCCCCAACCGAAAACCTCCAAAATTATTTTGACTAATTTTTGCGATTAAAAAACTTGCCCATTAACGTAATTGGTAAATAAATGGTGAATAACTGCTGTGATGCTTGTAAACTATTTTAATAGTTGTATTAATGGTAAAATTTTGTTGTGGAAGACACTGAGGTGCTGGAGCATGTTCAGAGAAGGGGGATGATGCTGGTGAAGGGTCTGGAGCACAAGTCCTATGAGCAGCAGCTGAGGGAGCTGGGGGTGTTTTGCCTGGAGAAAAGGAGGCTCAGAGGTGACCTTATTGCTCTCTACAACTCCCTGAGAGGAGGTTCTAGACAGGTGGGGGTCAAGCTCTTCTCTCAGGCAACTAGTGACAGGACGAGAGGACATAGTCTTAAGCTGTGCCACAGGAGGTTTAGGTTGGACATTAGGAGGAATTTCTTCACAGAAAGGGTGATTAAACTTTGGAATGGGCTGCCCAGAGAGGTGGTGGGGTCACTGTCTCTGGAAGTGTTTAAGGAAAGACTGGTCGTAGCACTTAGTGCTGTGGTCTAGTTGTCATCGTGGTGTTTGGTCATAGGTTGGACTTGATGATCTCAGAGGTCTTTTCCAACCTAAATGAGTCTGTGATTCTGTAAATGAAGTGTTTGATGGGGCTGCTGCCTGGGGTGAGGAGGGAGGTCTGATAGAGAATGAGGTAAGATGGCCTGGCTTCTCTGGGTGCTTCCCTGATGCCCCCATCCTGCCCCAAATAAGCAGCTGCAGCCCCTGTGTCCACCCTCACCCAGGACTCAGTGGGCTGGAGCAGCTGTGGGTGCCAGCAGGGCAGAGGGGTCCCTGTGCCCAGAGACACGCCTGCCAGATCCTGGCCTCAGCTGGATGGGGGCTGTGATGGTGTCCCAGCCCCAGGAGCCTTGCTGGGAGGGCCTGGATACTGAAGGACAGTGGGTGCAGGTGGAGGAGAACATAGGCTGGACTCGTTGCCTTTGCAAAGCCTGTTCCCCTGATTTTTGCCTGTGTGTTGCTGCCAGGCCTTGTACTCTCTTCCTGCCTCTGGGCCATGCATCCCAGCCATCAGGGAGAAGGTCCCATCCTTGCTCCTTTCCTCCAGGAACTTCTTGAATCCTCCATAAAAGCCTAAAATTCTTGCTCCCCGATATCCTCCCCCTATCATAGCCCTGTGCTCTTTTCCCTGCCTGCAGCTGCTGTCTGTCCCAAGGAAGGCTGCATGTGACTCAGCCCCTCCTGAGTTGACATTCTGCTTGCCCCACAGTTTATCTCAACGCAGCGATCTCCACGATCCTTCCTGCGCGCAGTGGGTGACGTGGCTGAGAAAGGTCCCTGTGCGCTTCGCCCAGCTCCGAATGGAAACAGTGTGAAGGCACAGCCAGTGCCGGTGCAGAGCGTGCTGCTGCCAAGATTGAGGTGCTGGAGGGGGCCATCACTTGTGACAGGGCTGGGAATGACTGGAGGTGCTCCTCGGGTACAAGAGGTGCACTGGGAGGCAGAGGGTACAGCTGCTGCAGTTCCACTTGGGATGCGTGGCCATATCTCAACTGGTGCCAGGTCCTGCCCCAAACTGGTCTGAGCACAGATGGGTTGATGGAATCCTGAGCAGCAGCAGCTCCTGATTTCTACAGACTTTAGCAGCACCACTTGCTAGAGATGGACCATCAGAGTCCTTAGTACCACCGGGCTCTGCCCGCCGGTAGGATCAGCATCTCACTGGCATGCTGAAGGTGATGGTGGCCCCATGCCATACCCTTGTGGCACCTTCCCATCACAGTTACCACTGCTTTGCCTAGGCCCTGCAGGTTTCCGCTCGCTAAAGGAACATTTTTGTGCCTCTGTTCCATCCCTCTGCTTACTCACTGCTTACCGCTGCTTACTCACACCCACAGGCTGCTGCCTGTCCCCACAGGGTCAGGTGCTGTTCCTCATGCAAATAATTTGCAGAGACCTTCCTAATTTCCAAGAAGTATCTGAAAGACCTCAACTCTCTTCCGTGTTTATCTGCAAACACTATTAACCATTTCCTCTTCTTGCCCAAGCCATTCACATCCCGCCTGGGTCAGACCCACAGATGTGAATTCAGTTAAACTGTTGGAGGAAGGATCTTTGGAACCCGTGAGTTTCTCTTCCTGAGCATCTTTTTAGGGTAACTTGTGTTCCCCGTTTCATTTGGGAAGCTTTACTTTCAAAGTCATTTAGCTCTGGACTCCAGTCAGCTCATCTGTGGTGTTTGATCACGGCTTTCTTTTTCATCTTCCAAATTTTCAGTGCTCCTTAAATACCCCAGATACTTGTAAGCCATATTGGGTCTGACCTTCTACCCTTTGACTCTGGTGATAGCTGTGTGCCCTGACAGTGATGGCTACAGGAGACTAGAGCCTCCTCTGGGTCCCAGCTGCGTTGGTGGGACTCTCACTGACTCAGTGGGCCACCTTCTTGTTGGGGAAAAAAAGGACATTTGTGCTTCTATGAAGTGGTGTGATGTGCTTGCTGAAGTTACTCTCTCTTAGTTTTAAAGAACAAACTGTTTTCTCACTTATTCCTCTTTCTCCTTCCTTTTTAGACTTTCTTTTCCTCTTTTGGTGGCCAAATAGCAAAGGAATGTCCCATGCAATTTACTGTATTCAAGCTCACAGAAAGTGGCCCCCTCAGCAAACCCCCAAGGTGTACCATCCACCCCATTGGGCTGGAGGGGATTTACCAGCATGATGGGGTGCTGCAGCATGGTTTGAGCCAGGCTGTTTTTCTTGGTGCTGGAGAACCTGGTGAAAGAGCCAGCAGGAGCTGTGTTGGTCTGGCAGGGTGCAGGCAGGGTGCAAAGCCTTCCTGAAGCCTGGTGGCTGCTGTGGGGCTGGGGCTGGGCTCCTCTGCAATGCTGACACCTGGGGCACATGCTGGGCTGGGGCACGGCACCGCTTCTCACCTCGCTTTCCTCCGCAGCGGCTTCCTAACGGTGAGATTGATCTTTTATTCTTTTCATCACTTCTAGTTTTTTTTTTCTCAGAAAAAAGGGCATCTAGCCATTGTTGGTTTCTCGTGGACGTGGCAGCCTCCCCGCCTCGGGTACCGGCTTACACCCATTTCAAGCGTGCATTGGAAAGTTTGAGCAATTCATGCTATGATTTTAATCAGAGCCCTCTGATGCTGCTGCATGGGGCGGGGAGGATGAGCCAGTTTTTCCTGCTGATCCCTGCCTCGAAAAGTTGTGATCTTGGCAGTGACACCCATCACATCTTCTGCCTTTAGAAATCAAAACATGTGGCAAGTGCCAAACAAGCCTTCCCCCACCTGGCCCAGGTGCCTGGTGTCAGCATTTGGGGTCACAAAACCTCAAGGCAGAAAAGCCTCCTTGCTATGAGCTTCCATATTTCCTGAAGCTCATTTTAGTTTAGTTTAGTTAGGGTTTTTTGAGTGGGAATGCAGAAAATTGTGAAAGAAGAGGTGATGTCCACCTCAAAACCCACCTACACCCTTGCACATGGTGGAGAGCACTCCCTTTGCCACCCATCCAGGCAGCGCAGTGGCCTCTGGCCAGGTGGCATGGAGAGGTGACAAGGTAGGCACAGTTTCCAGCCTTGCTCTGCAGCCCAAGCAGAGCCAGCAGCTCATGAGAAAGGAATGGTGCTGCAATACCAGGAGGAGACTGGAAAAGAAGACCCAGGACAAGCTGGATTGAGCCACCCACCCAGGGTGAGCCCTGTCTGCCCCAGTTCAGAACTCCCTCCTTGGCCATTCCAATTTGACCATCACAGTAGTGTTAGGTTAATGGTTTGACTTGATGATCTTAGAGATCTTTCCAATCTTAATGATTCTATGATTCTATGAAGTTAGGAGTTTCTCCCCCAGCCCACTCGCCTGCCAGGGCCATGTTTGAAAGTGAGAGGTGAGCAAGCCCCAGCCCTGCAGCTCATTTCTGAAAGCCTGAAAAATAATGAAATCGTCATTAGAATCACATTCTTCACCCCAATTATTAATTTTCCCCTGACACTTTCCAAAATTGCGAGGCACCGAGGCTGTGTTCGAGAGAAGTGGAGGAGCTGCTTTCACTGCTGGTTATTTCCTATGCGAGTATTAGTCAGTGTGGTGAGCGGGGAACATCGATGGTGGAAAAACTACAGAAGTTTTCTGCAAATTTCACCCCAATAACAGCATCCTGGCTCTGGGCACCTGCCTTTGCTCTCTGCAAATCTATCATGAAAAAACACCCTGAAGGTGGCAAACCTCCTTCTCCTTCTCCATCTCCTTCTCCTTCTCCATCTCCTTCTCCTTCTCCTTCTATCTCCTTCTCCTTCTTCTCCTTCACCCTCTTCTCCCATCCCATCCCACTGGGAGCAGCCTACCAATAGGTGCCCCATGGCTACCCAGACCCTACCTGTCTACCCAGTGCCACATGTCCCCCAACACTCCACTGCCTTGGGCACCTGTTGGGAACACCCATGGGTGCTTGGGAACCCAAGACAGTTTTTACTTATGTGCCAGGCTTGGAACTGAGGACCTGTCCCACGTGGCCCCTGCCTGCTCCATCCCTGAAAGATTTCCCCAAAAAGGGTTCAGGCTCAGAAGTGCCTGTCCCTGCTGCTTGGTAGCTGGTTGCCTGCGTGGGAAAGCAAGGAGGGGAAAGAGCAGATATGGCTCAGCTGATCCCTGCCTCCGAGGGGAGGAAGCTGGGGGCGGGAGGCAGCCCGGGTTTCCCTCTGGGGGAGAGACGGGCACGTTTCATTTCCACCCAGCCCTTGCAGCTACGACAGAGAACAAGCTGCCGCTGCGGGGGAGGAGGCACAGAGA